TGAGGAGGTTCAGCTGGAACGTCGTCGTCGTCGCAAAGCGCAAGGGCTTCAGCTAGTGGGATGTCGACAGGTGCTGCCACACTCTCCTCGCTCCCTGCCGCAAGATGAGGATGGTCGAGTAGTTGGGCGCACGGGGAATCTTGCATTACCAGTGCCATTGCGATAGCATGGAGAGGGCACGTTATGAAGCTGTCCCTGTCGGGGAAAAGTGAAATCCCTTGTTCTTCTGCTGTTTTCACCCGGATGAGCCTAACGAACACCACACCATCGGCACTAACAGAAAGATTGCCCTTGACCACGAACCCAAGGTCGGAGGCACGACCAAACGCATACCACATCAGTGCAAGCAAGGCCGCGTCTTGGTAGTCCTTGGAACTGGCGGCGTCATAGTAGAGTCCATCCATCAGAATACGCAAGTCCTCCTTCGTACACGCAGGTGCCTTCTTGACCATTCCACCTTCGACTCTCTTAAGGCAGTGGCGCTCGAGCGTCTGGCCCATCTTGAGAAGCTTCTGTTCGATGGCCGTGCGGTGCTTCGGGTAGGTGTCGAGCAGCCAGTTCTTCACGTGACGGTAATAGCTCATGACAGAGTTCCTAGCCAGCGGCTTCCCTCCTCTTCCCTCCATAAAGGCTAGATGAACACCAAAGCGATCCATGAGCTTCACAAACACCGCTCCGCTTCCGTCTCCAAGGAGGGAGGCTGCGACGAAGTCCATGGTGACTCCTTCCGCAGCGATGAACCGGCCAAATGCGTTGATAGCTGTTTGGCGAGCGCGCTGGGAGTTGGCAGGTGCGAGGTCTTGAAGGCTCATACTCGTTTCTAGTGTTTTGTCGGTAAGAGCGCAAATATGCCAGTGATGTGGACTGAACTAGTGGCTCGTATTGAGCCGCTGCATATTCTGCCCTCCGTGCCTACATTATACGTCGGCACAATGTCGGTAGCCTGTAAACCTACCCCTAGTGGATATTATTGGTAGATTAGATACATAGATGAATGTCATTGGTCAAATGGCGCACACTGCTGCCATTTTCCTATACTTAAATGATGATAAAATTATGTGTCGGCACCTTGATGATATTCATCCATAGAAACGCATCCCACAGGTGTGGGCCTTGCATATCCTTTCATGAGCACGCATGTGGGTGCCATTCCAAGGTGCTGCTTGCAAATACACACAATAAGACCCTAATTCGCATAACCTCTTATACCTGTTTCAATAAAATTTGTAGTACTCAATATTTTTTAAAAGATTTGTGATCTGATTTTGAATATCGTCAAGGATGGGTGGTTGACGTCTTCACTTTTGAAGATGCCGCATAGGGATAAGTGAAGACAACAGGGAACGTCAGGAAGCGAGGTGAAGCGCCGGCGAATGCCCCCTCGATGAACCGCCGATGAATGTGAAGTTGTAGGACCGCGCGGTAAGCTATTCGTATGTGTCTTCAATGTGTTATAATACCCAACACTAATTGAATGTCGTCATTGCAGATGACAGCGTGCTGTTCAAGGAGATTTGGCGAGTACTTCGCCGTGATGGTTGGACGGCCAAACCGCCCTCTCGGCGCAGCCTAAACAGTGAATACCGCTGTGTGAAGCCTGGTCACAGTCCAGACGTCGATGAATGTAGCGACTATTTTCTCGGAGAGAGAAGCCTAATTGAATACTGCATGCAACTACACGGCAATGTCGTCGTATGCACTGGAAATATCGTGAAACTACTGCAACCAAGTTCAACAATCACAAACACAAAAGTTGTACATGATATGGATTTGTTACCTGCAGCCGCCGTGGCCATTGAACCTACTCACATGCTGCTGGTGTGGATGCTAGCGATCGTGCGTCCTATGGTGTGGGCGCTGTTCCTTGTGGTGATGGAGTCGATGCTATGGCTGGTGTAGTCCGGAAAGATACTGGAGTCGATGATGAAAGAGATGACCGTCGTGGAGACCTCTCAGTCGACGTGGAAATCAATGTTTCTCGTGGGGAGAGCATTCGGTCCCTCCAATGCAGTGGAAAAGAAGGTGAAAGTGCCGGCAATGCGACAGAATCGGAAGTTCACGAGATTGAGAATGATTTTCGTGGTGGTTGTGGAGATAGGGCCAGCCAAAGGGCCGATAAAGACGATCAACACGATGCGTTTCGTGGAGCTGGAGTGGGACGTGTTTGTGGCGGTTACGATCGTTGCGGTACTGCTTTGGCTGGTGTTGCGGAACCGGTCGGTGTTGACGACAGTGAGGGCGACGCACATGACAGTAGTGTTGCAGTTGGCACTGAAGTCAGTAATACTCGTGGGAATAGCACAGCCGGTTGGACTGGGGGCGTCGCAAGTGTAGATCGCGCAGGAATGCCTGTAGGCATGTCGCGTAAACGAAGTGTAGCTGCAGTGGGAGATGATAACAATTTGGAAGATAATGAACGAGAAGAAAAGACTGATGAAGGCTCACGTTTATTGGGTTTACCAAATAACACTGTGATGTACGTTAACAGTTTGGTTGTGTACTCACCATCACGGGAAAAGTGGCTAATGACTAAGAAGCTGGCTTCAGTCTTTAGGCAAGTGGGGGCAGCATATATTATGGGGGCGTGTGTGCCAGCGAGTTATAAATTGTAAAGTTGTTCTCTATAAGGTGCGGTGGCGAGACACAATGTTTAAGAAGCACATGCATTTTGTTTCAAGTGGAGTCCTCCAACCTGGAATTGAAAATTACCGAACACTGACAAGAACAGCGTCGAAACCTAGTTGGTACTCGCTAACTACGGTTCCAGAATGTGAATCTATCCCTCGAGATGCCGTTCTTGAGAATCTAGGACTAGACCAACCCGTTCCGGTCGAATTTGACCCAGACCTGAGTCTACGGACCAGTTTGAAGGAGGTTGAAGCCGTCAAAAACATGAAATTCGATCCGAGGATCAAAATGGAGGCTCCGACTGATTTGTACAGTCACGATGACGACTCGACGACAACCCGCGTGCGCCCTGAGTGTACCTACGTCTTTACGCGCTCAGCCTCCTTTAGCTTCCTAGCCTACATTCCTCTTTAGTTTTGGCGGCAAGTGGTGAACTAAATAAACGCATACGCAGTTGTGAAAGGAGTTCGACTGTTGCCTCCCTTACACTCTCGGAATTGATGAAATTTATTGGAATTATTGTAATTATGAGTATTAACGACAAAGGCGAGTATAATAACTTCTGCCTGAAGATGCAATACTGGCCAATCAGAACTCTTCAGGCCTGGAAAATACTATGGTCTTACGTCGGTTCAAGCTGAAGAAAATGTTTTTGTTTTAGGGCATCAGACAGAGCGATGCCGCAGCAAGAATTCACCAGTCCTTAATCTGCTAAAGATTACCAGTGGGCGCTACATCGAGATGGGACGTAACGTTGCACTTGATGAGTGCAGTGTCGCTTGCAGATCACAATATGGCCGACAGTTCTAAACACTCTTGTGTCTACTTATACGAGCACACATCGAGCCATTCAACTCCAATCATTAAAATATAGTAGCCA